TGTGCTATTTTTATAAATATTAGCACTTGTATAATACAGATTTTTGAAGTATCATAACATGCAGTAAAATTGTAAGATATGATACAACCAACAATAATTAATAGTAAAAACAAATGTATACAATCAATTTGTTTATTTTATAATTATTAATTTATTAGGTATGAAAATTATTAAAAATAAATTTTACTTCATAATGAGATACTTAATTGAAAGCGATTGTTTTATACGATTGCTTAGCAGGATTTATGAACAAAAAAGTTCATTGTTTCATGTTAAAAATAACAAAATTGACATAAGCTTACCAAAAAACAATATGTTTTGTACCTATTTGACAAAATGTATTACAAGAATTTTCTACTGACAATATATTATGCCTTACCTGATATATTAGATTTGGAAAACATTAATCAGTATATAATTGTATTTCACTTCTATATGCATATGCATTGTACGGAACATATCAAATTTTGGCTTTAGTTTGGAACTATTACATTAATAACAATTCTTAAAGATCCAAAAATCCAAAAATATAGCACGGAAGCATATATACAATTGCATAAAAATGTATGCTTTACCTACTAATTATATATCATATGTGTAGTAGGTATCCATAAAGTGTACAGTGTATACACTTAACTTTGACCTATAATGACCAAAGTTGTAAAATAAAATATTGTATCAATATTACCCATATGAATTATGAATATCCTATAGGTATTATGTTATAGTTAGTAGTTTAGTACTATAATTTGCATCAATAACACGGACAATTTTAATTTAAGAAAAAAAATGCCTTACATAATTAATCACAGAATAATATATGCATGTGGCTACCTACATAATACTAAAATAATAGCAATATAAATTTCAATTTGGTTAATAGATATTTAATATAATAATACAATATAATATTATAGAATTCTATTTCTATAAATGTGTAGGTAATCATTATAATGGTGATAACTACTTATAGCCTATAGTTACCTAACATCATGTCAAGTATAAAATAAAACAAGTGCTCAATTTATTCTTGGTGCTTTTACAATAAAAAGAGCAAGTAGTAAGGTTACTTACCTATATTTGCATTAGGTTTATACTCATATTGAATTTTCTATACTTTTGATTTTTTTTTTTTTTCATTACTGAAGTCGGACCTATACTTGTAAGTTATTGTTATAGGTAGTTAGTATAGTATAGTATATAATCTTGGGTCTTTAAATAATACATAAGTAGTAAGTACCTATGCGATTTTCATATTAGGTACCTACTACCTACGTGTTATTCAGAGATATAATAATATATTTACCTACCTATCATAAACTCGTGTCAAATGTTTAACTGTAAGGTGGTACCTATCTATAATTCTTACTATAGCCTTGGGCAGTGGCCTACTTAGAGTTGCATTTTGGGGGAGGGCTTACAAATATATCTATAGCCTTCTGTTACCGTTGACCAAAAAAAGAAATCTTTAAAGAAATCAATTCTTTCTAAAAATGTCTTAAAGGAGTCACCCACCCTCCTCTCCCACATTTAGTATTCCTTTATTAGGAGTACTAACGTGCCTTTACGCCGTTACTACTTAAATGGTGACGTAAGACAATGCATATTTTGTTTAAAAATATAATAAAAGTAGCGTAAAAAAATTAAACTTTTTAAAAATGATCAACAGAAACATTACTCTTAGCATTTTTAAGTAATTTTAACTATATATTGTAAAATAAAATGTATAGTTTCTTTAACTGAACATTTTAACTTATAAATAATATAAAAAATATTTACACACCTTCTAAATAAAAAAAAAATAATGAAAATAAGTAGGTATTGTACATCTAATTAAAAAATCTACAAAAACTTCATTAATTGCATTGTTACAAGTTTACAACTTACAAGTCAACGTGGATTTTTTTTTATTTTAACTGGTGCAATCTTAAATTTAAAAACATTTTTATGTTTCCAACTGAATAATTTTTCTTTTAAACGACCCATTACTTATTAGGTACTATTAAAAATATAAAATTATAAAATTCTTATAATTTGAGTTCAACGTAGGTAGGTACAAATTCAGAACACTCAATGTTGATTACGAAATAGCTAAAATAATACTAGATTTTTTTCGATTTTGCGAGAAAAGTCACCTTACTGATGAGTATATTTTAGACATTTCGTAGCTATCACAAATACAAAAAAAATATTTAAACCCAAGAAAGGTTCACTTATACCTTTCAAGTCGCCCAGGTACCTATGCATAAGAATTAAGAAGCCATTCGGACCTCATAAAATCAGTGGACGCATCTTACATTGATTTTGGATTAAGATTAGGTTTCATTATTAATACGTAGTATTTAGGTAGACACATACAGTGGCATAGGTAATGGATTATGAAATAGCGCTGGGGGGGGGAGGGCATAAGTATAAATTAAACCAAGTTTTTTACTGTTTTCGTATATAAATTATACATTTATTGGTGAAAAAATGTCATGGGGATTTAAACACCCCTGACTACGTCATTGGATACACAAATTAATTGGTACCCATAATATGATAATATTATATTTTATATTTGGTCAATGAGGTATTTGCTCTTGATATATGTTAACAATAGTTATTTGATGCTGTTTGGTGTTCCGGGGTTGGAGCTTATTTTAAAATGTACATTCGGTAAATACGTGTTTAGCTGTAAGAGGGTGTCACAGCTGATACATATAGGTCATATGATATTAGGATTTTCTATTTTCATTAAGTGTTGGTGTGTGAAGTGCGTTTGTCCATCCTGAGGTGGTTAATGGAGGTCTCGTGTTTTCTAGTTGTGTTGTGTTTGGGAAGGGTAATGGATAGGTGGTACTTTTAACTTCATTAAGTTTGGTTGAGATTGAGAATTTGAGCCATTATTTTTCCCGCTGGTATTGTGTGTCTATTTCAAAGACTTTTTTAATGTCATAGTTCCCCGGTTCTCCTTATACTTGTTTGAATCTATAAACTATTGTTATAACTTACTGGCTTCTATCCTAGGGACCATCTCTGGTTGTCTTATGGTATGTCCACGAAAATGTCATTAATTTACATTCGAGTAGGTGTGGGTACGAATATCATACACAACAATCATATCTATCGATTATTACAAAATAAATTTGATTCAGGCGGTATATTGCGTTTGACCGTTGTTGCGCTTTCAGATTTAACTTTTATAACATACGAAACAGCTCACTAGCGAGTGTACCCTTATAGCACGGACGGTGTTACACGCACAAAGTCATATAGCATGCCAGTGCAGACAATGCAGTTCGGCATCGGCGTGTTATGGTCGAGATGGCTTTCTGCAGCTGATAGAGTTGGCGGAGAGGCTACCGTAGCTTTGGGTGTTTAGTGCTGGCTGTGACGCAAATACCTCGACGGCAATGTCCGGGTCAGGATGCATTGGCAGAGGCTTCCTGGAAGCAGGAGGGTTGATACGTTATCGGTGTGCCACTACAGGTGCCTCGGGTTTCGAATGGTGTTGTCACCCACAGAAATCTAGATAAAAATTGTCCCAAATAAACTAAAGTGAACTCCTTGTTTAGAATTAAAAATAGGATACATTTATAAATTATTATATCTGTATAATATTTGTGCGAACCATCTATATAATATAATATAAAATCGAAAATGGAAATCTTTGTTTACTCACCCAATTGTCTTGTGGTATTTTTTAAATTATAGAGGACATCACGGAGCAGGCCATAGGCGTAAATTTAGTTCGATTAAGTTGTGTAGGTGAAAATTACCTTTCTAAAAAATTGATGAAATTGTTGTCCATTTTATTCCTATAATTGCACAGCAATTTTTTTTATTTACTACTTGTCATAATACCACCTCTCTAAGTCTTAATATATATGGAAACAAATAGGTGATCACATACTATTTAAATATTCACATACAATTTATATAATTATACACTATAGTGACTTTGCAAGGGGCGATCGTACGCTCAATCTGCGCTTTGAGTGTAGGTACCGGCCGACGTTGTTAGTTCTCTGATGGGTGACCACCCGGGTTTTTAGCAACACCTACAGCTACACTTACACAAACACGAGTTATAGTTTTACAAACATAAAAACCTACAAAACCTATTCAACAAAATTCCCTAACGTACCACCCACACCCGGTTTATATTGCCGAGGGTTAAAAAAGGATATTATACAATATTATAACATTACTGATGTATGTTGGGGCACCTTAATACAATAATATTCGACTGCTTATAGTGGTTTATTTTTGTATACATAACACAATAAAATATAAATGTAAAATATAATTATATATTTGTGTACTAGTGTTTATACGAAGTAGTATTATCTAAGACCTTAGTTATGTTTACCATGTTGTGGGGCCGAAGGAGATTCGACTTTTTTTGTATAATTATTTGTTTCTATAAAATAAGTGTAAAAATGCGATGTGTCACTGTGCCAATCCTAAAAAAAGTCATGAGGGATACCCAAAATGTCCCCTTCTAGTGTATTGTAGTATATTGGACCGCCACTGGTAACCAATGCCATGGCCCATGGGGATGATACAAGATACTCATGATGTACCTACCACCCCTGCACGTGTCTCACACGACCACTGCGGTGGTTGAGTGGTGTATCGTATCGTTGATATAGCGTGCTGCTGGTAAAATGAGTAATCCCGACAGGGATGAAGGACAGTGTACATATTGTACTAATATTATTTTGAATTATGTAACTGATCATTTTTGTTGGTGGTATATATTGTACCTACATCATTTTCTAACCGAATTAGGGAAAAAAAAATAAAATCACGAATTCCTACCGAATTCCATAAACTTGGTACCTTTTTTTTATTTTTGTGAAAAATCGCAAAAAATACGTTTATACTTACAAATTCGTGTTTTTGAGATATCACAACAACTAGTAGTAAGTATCGCTACCAGACTATAGGTACCTATATTTCATTCAATTATTTTCCCACGTTTCAATAATTACTCCAATACAACTCCTGTATGGTTGAATTCAGGTACGCTATGCACAACAAAATATGACGTATATAACACGATGGCGTGTTTCAGTTTGTTTTATTTTTTTAATTTAACAATTTTCGCTCGATGTAATAAAAAGTACAGTATATTATTTTACAACAACAATATGACGGCGAGTCCTATCTATATAGCAACGTTCGCTGCGGTGTATAGATGGATGGTCGGTCAATTGTCTTAGAGCAGCGTATGTATACGATAACTGTACAATATATTATGAAACTTTGAACAAAAAAACACAATAATGAATAATAATAATACAAATAACAATATAAATAATATAATACTTACATACCTATCCTGCAGTACTGGTCAATGCGACCCGGGCCCGGACCGCGATCGACTATACCTATAGATATCCCTTCAGACGGCGATGAACAATCCAGGTCGGAGACCGTCCTGCTAGTTTCCCTGATCCATAATAAATAGTAATATACCAAGACCTATTATACTATTCTCTACTTAGTTGAACCATTATTATGTGTTTGGATGAAGCAAAATGTAATATAGGTATGCGGAGCGCAAGCGCGCAGCTTACACAATATATTTTCATTGTGATTAAACTTCAAAAACACAGTGCTTTGTGAGTGTGTGTCGATAAGTCGATATTTTCAGTAGGTATTGTCTGAGAATGAAAGAAAGTATATTATAATATAGGCAAGGTAACTATACTATTAAATATCGGCTTATTGTTCGATATACGTTATAATAGCTATATACGTTATACGCAAAGTCATTTATCCTTTATTACTTATACAAATTCCGATCTCAGGAATAGTTTAGTTTAATTTGAGAACACATTATTTTCTAATATTTGGATATTTATAAAATTTAATAACGAATGTCTTGTGATGATATAAAGTCTTTTATTTATCAAATAAGAACCGCCATTTAGTTTTGCAGATTATTTGCAGACGATTTTTTTTAAATTGTTACATTTCTGTATTATATAAATTGACATTTAAACGAGTGGTTTCTGTGTTATTAAACTTTATGTAAGTACTTACTTAAGACTATAGTCCTTAATAATGGTTTTATACCTATATACAATTTAAAATATAAACGAAATACTTAGTCTTATACTTATACTTAATAAGTGATACTCAGAGAATTTGTACAAACTTTATAATGTTACCTAATAGATTAAGAATAATTATTCATTTTTGAATTTTTCAAAGCTCCATTTATTTTAAACCTACAGTATAATGTAATAACTATAATAAATTATTAACTGTAATAAATTTAATAACTCAGAAAATATTCGATATCATTTTGATTTAGTGCAACCACATAATCAGAATAATCTCCACATGCTTCACAATTTACAGTGAAAAAGGGTGATTCTAATTCCTAAAAGGAGTTTATAATTCTTAAACAAATATGGCCTTATACATAATTAAAAATGCAAAAAATTTGAAATAAAAACATTACTTACTAAACAAATAAATAGGAGTGAGATTTTCGTATTGAACCACCCCGTATAAATATATTTCATGTTCGTTGAAGAAATGAGTGTGCCTAAGGTATACGAGGTTATAAAGGTATAAGGTATACGTACAAAAACAGTTTTTTTTCAAACCATTCAACTAAAAAAAATTTAATGAAAACAAACCATCTCAAGATGTTTGAGTTTTCCATTAAGTAATTAAAAAGTATTCGGTCCGTCGCGTTATTCATTTTATTATAAAAATAAGCATTACAAACAAATTAACACGATACTTAAAATGAGTCTAATGAACAATTTAAAAAAAAAATTAACGACGATTAACCGAACTATTGATTGTACAGTGTACGACTCACTATTATATTATACGTTAAAAGTACCATTGCTGTAACGCGATTAACGTAAAGTATTAAAATATTATTAATTATTATACGTTTTTCTGTCAATTATGAGCAATAATTATTCATTATTCATTATGATTACAACTTACAAGGGTTTAATGTTGAAGTGCGTGACACGTAAATATATATATAATAATATTGTTATTATTAATAGTCAGGTAGGTACACCGAGCACAACTATATAGCATTTGTTATATTTGCAAAATTGTTTAAAAATATAGGTGTAAGTACTTTTAAAACGTATTTCAAACATGTTTTAAGCACATTTGTCAATATGTATTTAAAATTAAATACAAGTATAAATACATTTAAAACATGTTGCAAATACTTTATATTTTACTTGTCTTAGGTGTATATTATATTATTACTTCTTAAGTAGGTATAAAGCTCTCCTGGACCGAAATGTGTCCAAGTATGATTTATGTTTTTTGGTGTTTAAATATTCGTGTATGATCACTAAATATTTTTTAAAGTGAGGGGAGTCAAAGTTACCTAACGAATCCTCCTAGAATTTAACATGGACAAATTTTTAGTATTTTGTATTTTGAATCATAAATCACAAAATAAATATTTCAAATAGGGTTTAAAAATTTTTGTCTAAAAGTACTTTAAACGCATTTGAAGCACAAAACAAATATTTTAATTTTTAATAAGTATGGACTTAGTAACAGTGGGCCATTATGGAATGGTGGTTATGGGTGATATATTATGCTTTTCGTAATTTCGAGTTGGCATTTGGCACAGAAACTATTCGTATTTCTTAATGTGTAAATTGTTATTGTATTTGTATTCTTATTTTGTTTCAATAAGATAATCACATAATGATATGCTTTAAGCATACCCAATGTTATAATACGGTTGAGATTGGTTTATTGGTCTTGATGTGTCGTCGTGTTGAGGTGAATAGTTGTCCGTGGATGTCATAATAATATAAGGTTAACACAAAAAGTTCATAAACAGGATATATTGTACCCATGACTTTTTTCTGCCAAAAATAGTTATGTACATTTTAGTGAAATGACTAAATTCCATTTTGATTTAGATGTAGAATTTTTAAAAGTACAGTTATTGAATGTATTTAAAAAATAAATAAATGTATGGTACATCAACTCATGCGAAATATAACCTGCGCGTATGACTGGTAACCATATAATTAAACTAAGAAGATTATAATATAATCCTAAAATTATCCAACCACAAACTTTTCATCTTATTGTCTAACGTACTTATATTTCCGAATATTCCAAACTTTTCAATATTAGACCAACTGTCTAAATATAATATAAAACCTACAAGTCATGTTTTCTTTCTTGGAGTCGGGTTCAATTGTTAACGGTCTTGGTTAAGTATTAAGTTTCCGAAAACAAATGTTCATATTGCACGATGACAACGGAAACTAAGCTATTCTAAAGGTTCATAAACTATGATTCCGCTAACTTTAGGATTTTTCTGTCCGACAATTCTACCAACATAAAAGTCATACATCTGGTGGAATTACTAGACTCTCCTATAATAGGCCGTGATGAATTTATATGTTAAAACAATGGTCAATCTATTCTAAGCTCGATGGTTATAGCCAACTGTCTCAGAAATAAATGTAAATGAAATGGCTACAGTATCGCATAACTCAGAAGTTTCAACCGTTAAGAATACCTAATAAAACAATCCAACAATCAGCCCAAAGTATTAAACCCATTAGGGGGCATCAAAATTCCAGCACTACCTACCTACTTTGTCATTCATTCCATCATTGTATCACCACCACCAACCTTCGTCAACCAACAATAATAAACCTTAAGTTCAAAAAAACTATAACAAAAAAACAATGAAAAATAAAATAATATTTCATCTTAAAATAAACTTAAACAATAAATGTATAGGTAGATACGTCAATAATACGATAGGCATATCTAAAATTCTAAAGCCAAGTAAAAAGTGTTCACCGCAACGAAAAATATTCCAATTAATTATGTTCAATTCAAATTATTAATCGAAAACTGTTTGAACAGCTCTAATCCAAGAGATAAATGTTTACCTTTCAATATAAGCTTTATTCAAAATAATCAATTTATTTACACGTACATTAATAATACTGAGTGGTAAAAACAGATTAACTAGATAGTATATACAAGACAATTTCAGAATTGTCCAATGACGAACTGAGTACACTTCTACAGTAATCATTACGAGAGGCGAAAATCCAATCAATAAGGTATTTATAAATTATAAGCTAGATATAGTTAACTGAAAATATTTTAGATAATGACGAACTAATTCTACTTGATGACGGCAAGCCTACCTACTTATTTCAATTTTCAATCTTTACAACAGTAAACATCGGAAATTAAATAACCGCACGCAAATTTAAGTACTGCACAGCAATATATAATTTTGAATGGGAACATAATAATATACTCGATGAAAAACACTCCAGTGATCATTATTCATTGCCATAATCATAGAAATGCAATTAACAAATGGCCGAGATTCAACTAAAACAAAAAACAAATGTTTCAATATTATAATATTATTATTTCTTATAATATTATAATATAATTATAATTATAATTTACATGTATCTTACTTAAAACCACTGTAAGACTTACTGTGTAAGTTAAATAGTTACATAGTATCATGTATTTTAAACTAAGAATCATAATATTTAATTTGTTAAAATACACAATTTTGTCAGTTCGAACTTATATAATGTCTTTAAAAAAATGTTTGTTAATGCATTTAGCATTTTCAATATTTTGCATTCAATTTCAAGGTTTTTTTTTTCTCAAACAAAAAAAATTATACATAAATCGGAAAGTATTTCCAAAGAAGTTTATTTAAAATGCTTTTCTATTAGGTTAAAAAGATTTAAAATATTTTTAAAATTATATCATGTCAAATGCTAAAAAAAAATGTTTGAAAATTCAAGTCTTTACATTTATTTTTGAAATATAACAAAAAAAAAAAAACAAATTCATTTTGCAAAAACTGATTTTGTGAAAGAATTGCCGTCTTAACATAATTTTGCCTTTTATTTTTTCCAATTGATTTTAAATGTACTATATTTTTTTTACTTTTAACCCGTCGATGTACCACCTACACCCAATATTCTACCAGAAAAGACTCACAAAGATATAAATAGAAGCATGTTTACAGCTCCAAAAGCTAATGACAGACACAGAAAAAAAATCAATAAAAAAAATACGTATCGATAAATAATAAACGTAAGTACTGCGGCGTTTCATTGCGATGACGTCATAGAATCGTGATGCCTTTTAAACGCAGGTTAGAATCAAAATCGGACCGTACTCGCAGCTTTTATTGCGTGGGTGCCATGTGTTGGTGCCCTTGACCTTATATCTATATACTAGATGTTTCTGTTTCAAAGTATAACATTGAATGCTGCAGGATTTCGCCTGGTTGGCTTACGACTTGTGCCTGCCGCACGACGTACGTGCATCGAAAGATAAGCACCTACTCTCACGTAACCTGGAAGAAAATAACCCATGATTTAGTTGTTTTAGTTCAGGACCAAGGGTAATCGCCCAGGCCTGCGAATATTTGCTGAGAACGTCCGTATTTATTTCGTACCTATACGTCGATAACGGTTCGTTGCCGCGCATATTAATATTAACGAGTCGATGGATATTATTACTATTATTATTATTATTATGTTGCATGTCGTAAAAATGCGTGATTATCGAGTTCGAGGAGATGTGTTACAAATTATATAAATTACTTACCGGCACTGTTATTATTCCATCGGTTCTTGAAGGCTATGCGCAAAATACGAACATTATTGTAAAATTGTAAGTCGACGAGTAGTTTATTCTAAATAAACAACCTGCGTCCCGAAAAGATAAAAAAAATAGTTGTAAGATTTCGAAAAAATATTCTTATATATCGTTTTGTTAAAAGTTAGTAGAAGGCCGGGTACGTCAAGTACTTGCCTAACAGTATTGTTCTTTATAGAGTTTTAAACGACCTGTTTATTACCTGTTGAAACTATTTCTCTGTGTATGGTAGGTAGATATGGGAAGGTAAAGGTAGGTGGTAGTGGGCGTAGATTGTTTGGGTGAAATGACCCAAAATGTGGTCTGTTTGGGTGAATAGTTATATTATTTATATACCAACTGGGCGAGTGTTTATTCCACAAAAAGTGCCATTTGAGCGAATAAGCATGAATAGGTTTATAGATAGATTAATTTACATACATATTGTAATATTGCGTATTGTACGTATTGTTAATTTAAAAATAAAGTCACATACAAAATACATAGTAAATAATTAAAAATGAACTCTTAACTTTAAAATGGTATTGGTATAGTATTATTGTAATGTGACGTTTGAGGTGCACATACACTATTCACACTATCCTATGGCCCCAAGGGAGGGACAGGCACTGGAGCCATGATGACTATATTGTTATATTGTTGTTTATATTTAATGTGGTATTTTGTAATGTAATTTGAATTTTTTTTTGTTCAAAAAAATGTGATGTTGCTTGGGTTAAGTATTATATAGGTTCACCTCCATGTGTTCACACTCCTAGGAGAAAAAATATTGTAATATACAGTCAACAATAATAAAACGAAATCATATACGATGTACTTATAAAAGAAATAATTAGTAACGAACCTTATTTTTAAGAAACGTTCGTAGCAAAGTCACCAGGTTTTTATCTTAAGCAGGTACAAATAATTTAACCAGCTCAAACGGACTATTAATTTTTTGATCAAAATTATTACCTTTGTCCAAGCGACCACCGCCCGTGGTCTATGGTGATAGGGGGTTTCATCGATTCCGCCAGACCATTTTATACTTGGGTATAAGGCTTATCGATTCCGCCAGCATCGATTCCCCCAATGCAGATATAGTTTAAAAACGACCTATCGATTCCGCCAGGGAAAAAATAATTTTTTATTAATTTATATTAAAATTCAATATTGACTTATTTTGTAGATACCTATATTATTATTATTATACAATTTTATTTATTTAACTATATTTTATTATTTTATGTATATATTAATTCACATTGCATTAGTTTGGCATCCATCATACCATAAAAATATCATTGTATAACTTAAAACCATATTTGACTAATTTAATTGTATTATTATATATATATATTGTATTGTATTAATTATTAAACTGATTATTAATTTTATTTTTAATATTTAAATTAATTATTGAATTATTTTTTAGATATATTATTATTATTATAACAGAAATAGGTTGACAGCAGCAGTTGCCAGGTCGAGGTAGAAATTGGTAGGTGGCGGAATCGATAGGTTGTTTTTAGACTACCTGAACTGGCGGAGTCGATACTGGCGGAATCGATGCTAAATTGGCGGAATCGATAAGTCTCCGGTGATAGGTACTTTTATACTCTATTTGAATTAACATATGTACTAAATACTATTGCAATGTCTATGTGTAATCTAAAACTGAAGTTTTCCTAAAGTGTTTTCTTTTCAACATATAGTTGTATTTCAATCAGGCCAAAACAGATGAATCTAGACATAATATACATTATGTATGTGTGCGATTGAAATATAATATGTTGGTATACTATAATTGATCATAATACAAATAAATTTTTGCATTTAAGAGTTTGGTGAATTGTAAAAATCATATATTTTTTGATTGAAAACAACATTTTTAAAAGTAAAAGGCGCCTGATATGTATCGTTTACACTTTGATTTGTGTACCTATTTAATTGAAAGTAAAGTTATGTTATTATAGCTGTACAAAAGTGCAATATTTAAAGATTTTTTTAATATTAATACTTTTTTACGAACGCATATGCTATAAAAGTTTTCCAAATTACAATTTATGTTCCAACTTCATGCGTACGAAATTACTAAAAAATCCACCATCTTGTTTTGCGCTAACGACAGCTAGCATGAGGGTACAAGTGTACCACAATAGTCCACAACGATTCGTCAACTGTTTGACAGATTGTATACTGGACTGAACAAAACGGCAGATGTGACCAACCATTTGTCCAAAGTTGTTGAGATAGGACGAGAGTTGTGGAAGGCATTTTAATTAATTTATACAAAAGCTTCTAGGATAATGAAAAAAAAAAATGTATTTAATGTATGTGTATTTATAAATAATGAAGTAGGGGACATGTTTTGGACGAATTGAGCCAATGATTGATATTTATTAAACAGTTTCGAACAATAAAGTATTATAGAAATTGTAGCCACGCTAAGTTACGAATCAAATACCTAAATAATTAAAGATTTGCGTCATTTATTATTTTATGAAGTCTTAACCATACCTACCCACATTTTACGGATTGGAGAGCATTTGCAGTACACAATATCACCTAAGATTGTAGCTACCGTTTGTTTTCTTTAGAATATCGCAGGAACAAGCGATGAAAAATTATCCTATTATGTCTATTTTACTACGAATTATTGTATTTTATACGCTGTAGAGATATTGAAATTAATATATTATACTTTGTTATTTTAGGATTGGACACTACAGATAAAATACGTTCAACTACGAGATGCCGGTTTGTACGAGTGTCAAATATCATCACATCCACCGAAAAGCATTTTTATCAATTTAAAAGTTGTCGGTAAGTAATCACGTCGTATTGCTCTAGCAAATGAAAATCATATTTAAAATTGTAAATGCGCTTATGTAATTTTGATCATAAATTATTAATGAAAATAAATTTGTTCGCTATATTATTATTAATTATATTCCAACTCATATTATGTAATGAACAATAAAAAAGAACTGTTAATTAAATTTAAAACATGATAAATTACAGGAGGTGAATACGATGAAATACCTTTTTCCCATGTTACCTACCAAAACAAAAGAATACGCGTTTAAAATGTATTAAGTAAAAAAAACATGTTTTTTGTAATTAAATATTATATTTTATATTTTTAAATTGAAAGGAAAATGTAATCGTACAACGGTAATAAGTAGGGTACCTACCGATTTGTACGCATTTACACATTCTTATTGAGCACAATTTGTTAGTAGTGAGATATGTGGACGATTATTTTTGTATCAGAGAATTTGTACAGTACAGTTTATTTTGCTTATTAATGTATATTTTAAAGATGACAGCATATTTTAAGAATATAATACTCCTCATAAGATTAACTCGATAACTATTATAGTTTACTATAATATGGTTCAAATTCATGACAGTTTATACTTTTTGATTTTTCACTTCGGATCACTTATTATGAAAATCTTGATACTTGATAGTTGATATAAATGAATACACCAAATTATATTCAATGTATTAGTTTTTTTTTAAAATTATTTTAAACATTAAAATTAAAATACCTCGTTAATTCGTGCTGGTTTATATTTCGATATCAGTTTTACGAAGTTCTTGGAAAAAATTCTAAAAATTGTCGTTTGTCTTCGGGGCCGACAGATTATCGAGCACAATAATTACAATGATAATTTAATAATGACCCAAAATCTGAAACACCATATTATAATCATCGAACCACGGGGTTCGGAACCGAGTCAGAGGAAATTATAATATTATAATTATGCATTTTCGTCGCACGTGGAGCACCGTAGCTTTTTGGTGGAGATAAAGATGGGTGTTGGGTTTTAGTTTCGATTTTTGTCGGAACTGCGAAATGTCCATTATGGCATTATCGTTTGCTTGGTGAGACGCATAGGCGTTTGTTATAATATTATAAACCATCACTTTTAGCTGTTATAATATGCTTTCGATAAAAAAATAAATAAATAACTAAAATTGAAATTGATGAATCTCGAACGACCGAAATGTCCTTTCGACCGGCCAAGTTATTTTATTTTAATCCACTCGGGATTCGATAGGACGACGTCGTGCAGTTACCAAGCTGGAATGATATACGCGTAATGCGTCTTGCAGACACTGATCTACGTCATTCTCTGGCTTCGGTCTCCATAATATAAATAATTTATTATTATAAACGCGGATACGTTGTAATATAATATATTATATTTTTAATATTTATGTATATTGGAAGTCTCTCTGGTGATCTTTAAGGAGTTCATTGTTTGAAATATTAATACAAAATTATTTTTTAAAAAAAATTGGGTAAGTTAATGTCACCCTGCTGTACAGTGGGTCACTGTAATGGATGGCGTTAAATTTGAATTCAATGATAAAAATCATTGTTTATGAGAAACGATTCTGAGCAAAGACGTCTGTCTGCCTATAATATTACTTAGTAATTTAGTATACTTGATGATGTCATTGTGGTTAAAATTATTTATTTTACTGTTAAGCTTTAGTATTACTACAGAAGGTTAAATTCATTTTTTCCAAAAAAATTACATTTTAAAAGCCATTATGTGAGCATAAAGCACAATAAATAATAATATACTCAGATATTCTGAAAGTAACAAGTAGGTACCCAAGAATGATATTTTTAAATTACAACAAAATAACTTAAATCATTATTCTTGGTTACTTAATAATAATATGTTATTTATTAATTAAGGAAATTTAAGTTTTCACAGCTCTAAATGTTACTAATGTTCCAAACAAGACTTTATAAACAATAAACTCGCAATATTTTTTGTTGATTTGGAATCCGCTGAAACCAGCAACATGACATTTTCATACCTATTAGCTTTTAACTAAATACTGAAATAGAAACCAAACTGCTATACCAAACATACATCCTAAACGAACAATTGAGTTCTACTTTCCATTTAAAAAAATTAATTTCTGAACAATATCTCTTGATATATCTCTTTAGATCACACATTTCCACATTTCCGTTGAAAAACTTTACTACTCAACCACAATACCTAGTTACTCTAATAAAATTGAATATTATAACTCAAAATTATGAAAAATGTTTGAGATCAATTCGATCAATCTTTAAACTCAAATGAAGGCTCACTTTTCAAAATAACCTGAAGTTGACCTAAAATAAAAGAAAAATGTCCTCCATTAACTGGCTCAAACTGCCCTTGAGCTATTTTCTATTTATAAAAAGCAAATATATTCTTTAAATTCTTATTTAAGGTATCCGCATTATTGATTATTCACGTCACATACGGACATAATACCTGCCCTTAAGAAATTGCCAATTCACTAATAGTTCTCTACCAATGTCATTATCTGTAAAATATACTTACTAAATAAAAACTAAAATATATTAAGTCATCAGAATAATCTAATAACCATCAAAGTCTTCAAAAGTATTCTTTAAACAAAAACGAATTTAAAAAAATTTAAAATGCATATAATATAATATAGCTTATTGACATATTAATATGAATAATTTTTAATGTAATTTCGTGATTATATTTCAATTAATGACACTGACCACATGTAGTAACTAGTAAGATACATTGAATTGGTATGTAAATATATTTTAATTATTCCTTCAGTTGACTACAATAAGATCTTTAAAGTACGCCAGCGGAACGCACTCTTAATATACGATTATTATGTTAATATGTCTTACGTACTAAGATGTATACGTAGCCACGTTGGTAATACCTACTGGTGCATGATAAAAGTTTCGCACCTACTTTTGAGTATTTCAAGTTACAACAACCGCATTATATTATAAGTATTGCTGCGATCCTGACTTACAATATAAATTCCCACATGATATTATCTTAACCGTGGTTTAATATAATAACGTAAACCATCCGTCCTAAGTCGTTGTACATATTATTATCATTTATCATCTACCATAATATTATAATGATGTATGGTAATGGCCGACCCGGAAATGTCTATCATTACGCCGACGGACGAGACGTGATGTGCCACGCGTTGTTCGTAAATGTATGTACGCGTTTACCTAAATAAATATATTTTGTATTTTAAACGTTTATACCATGTTAACATCTTCAAAAGATCTCAAAATCCTCCCTCTCCGCAAAAAAAAAAAATTGAATACGTGTTCCCGAAAATTTAGCCCCTTATTACAAGGTCTTTTGGAAGTTCGTATAGTTAAGAACTAAGTGCGTTTCCTGTAGTTCACTTATTACTTATACAAACTATATTATATTTAATTGAAAATAACTTTGAGCCAGCAACATTTTCAACTCGCCAAAATTAAAAAAATACTAGGTATATCAAATGACTGAAATGTGATTTAATAACTTAATAATATTACTAATTAATTTAAAATTATTTTTTTCAAAGTCAGTGTAAATATTTTAGTAATTTATTATTTATTTTGCTATTATTATTAAATTATAAGCAATAAACAATATTACTGTATAATAAAATATTTTTCATTATTAAATTTGTATCTTTTGTTTTATTGTTATAATGCTAAAAATAAAAATTTAAATTAAAAAATATTTATGTAAAATGTATATTCTGCTTCATTATATATACAGACAGGTTCAATTTTTGAAATGTTTAAATTATTCAAATAAAATTATGTTTAACGTGACCGTCCGTCTTATTTAATAGTACCTATATACTATATGGGCACCACTATACCAGTGTATTATGCATTATGCTTAGTTTAAAAGTATAATCAAGTTATATATACTTCTTAAAATCATTAAGTTAAATTTAACACACTTTTCAATTGTGTCATTGTCTTTGTATGTCTCTGTATTTAAGTACATTACAAAGCCAAGTTTCCAAATAAAAAAAATAAAAAAATCGTATCATAATTTCAAAATATTAACAATTTTTTATAGTTGAAAAAAAAAACAAAAAATTGTTGATGTATAAACATAATTAATAATATTTTATCTAAAAAAAAAATATTTAACTGATTGATAACATAACTATATTTTAGATTCGGAGTATTGATTTCACCCTGATTTAAAAAAAAACTGTAGTGTGTTTGATGACCATTTATAGTAGGAAGAATGCTCTGATCATCAACTTCAATGGAGGTTTCGGGTAGAAAATTAGATATAGTTTGCACTTTGGTGGGTCAAAATCAGACATTTCTCAGTAGGTACTTTTTGAAATAATCGAGGAAAAAAATTCGAACACTTGTTAAAAATGTAATAATTTTCTAACATTATTATTTTGTGCAATATCTCGGTTACCCCACTTTAGACCGTCTTCGCTCAGATACATTTTTCATTTGATACAATAATGATTTGTCATTCAATTCAAATTTAAATCATCTATTACAATGGATATATCAGAGCGATTTCCTACTTGAAAACTTTTTTTAGGATATTATATTTTATTCAAGTTGGTTTCTGATGTTTTTCTAAAATTAAAAACATATCTATAGACATACATACTTGAAAATACGATACATTATTGTATAGGTTTAATAATTTTTAATCATTAAAGACAGCGTTATACCTTATGAGTTACAAGTAATATTTATACAATAATCACTTTAAACGATTATTGTGTATTTGTGTTGTGTTATAAGATTAAATATGTTCAGGGAGTTTAACAAAACCAAATAAATAGGGACAAAAAAAATATTATAGAACAATTTTTTTCTATGTAGTTTTTTCAAAATATAAATCGCTTACTACTTTAGCAAGATGAGATAATGTACGGTTACTGGTACCGAACACAATGGAATTACTGACATGCCTCTTATTGAAAAAAACGAAATCACGATTAGAGATAAAATACGTTGTATCACA